GCACATGTGCATGCGTGCCCAAAATCCCAAGAGGAGAAGAGAGTGCAATGTGGCCATCCCCCTGTGGAGTGATTTCTTGCTTTCTGTCTCTCCAGCAAGCACACACACCCCTACAGCAAAAATATCTCAAAAACAAAAACAATCAAAAAAATAAAAGCCACATGGTTCTGTAAGTAACTGACACTACAAAATTGATGTGCTGGAGGAACTTGTCAGGAAGCACAAACTCAAACCCCACTGCAGATAAACTCAGAACAAAAGCTCCATTGAGAACAAAATATTTATGGAAGGTAGCCTGAAGAATGTGCCATGCGCCTACTTATCTAGATCATCTAAAACAGGTTCCTAAATTAAATCAGTCCAGAGGTCTAAGTGTTTGAATTACATTATTTTGCCAGTTCCAGACTGCTTTTACTTGAACTATTTAGATGTTATGTCAAGAACCTACACAATAAGGTAACAGAGTCTCTTGAAACACATGCTATAGTCACTTAAGGATGTAAGTGATGAGTTTCTCACTTTGAGAATCCAAAAGAGAAATTAATAGTCTTGTGTTTACTAACTATGTAACTGATTATATTCCTATCTGAATTGGCTATTACAAAGCAAAGCTGGGGCCAACAGGTGGAGTGGAGTTATGGGTGCTGGACTCCCACATGGCCAACCGCAGTTCAAGTCCCAAAATTGGTGGCTTGCTTCCTCACTTTCTCGCTCTCCTTCCCTCTCTAGTCAAATTAAAAAAACGAAAAAAAAAAGTAAAAAAAAAAAAACCTCTAAAAAAAAAAAAAAAAAGCAAAGGTACACCAACCAGTGGCATGTGGTGGTTAGGGCAGCTGGCTGGCTGCATTGTTTGAGTCCTGGACCCAGCAGCTTGAAAAATGTACTGGGTGTGTGTGGTCAAAATCCTGAAAGAAAAAAAAAAAAAAAATCCTGAAAGAAGACTTGAGAACAGACTGAAGAGTGGTCATCACTATTGGGAATACCGTCTCACTTTGCCCCCTCCCCCCCATATACAAATGCTCTGTAGAAAAAAAAAAAAAAAGCCAAATATATTAAATATTAATATTTAAGAGTTCGGTCCAACTACCTTGTGTACAGAGCTCATTCCTGTTCCCCCCCCACCACCTTTTTTTTAAGAGAGATTTTTGCTAAGGGCGCATGTGCTCGCTGAAGAGACAGAAGAGACAAAGAGAGACAGAGAAACACAAAGCGAGAAATCAACCCCCAGAGGGGATGGCCAAACCACAATACCTTCTCCTCTACTCTCCTCTCAGGATTTTAAGCACACACACACTTTTTTTTTTTTGGAGAAGTTTTTGTTATAGGGCTCGTGCGCTCGCCAGACAGAGAGAGACAGAGAGACAGAACGCGAAAAATCACCCCCCAGGGAGGATGGGGACTCCATTCTCCACTCGGGATCTTGGGCACGTACGCACACGTGCCTGGTGTGAGTTTTAAGCCACCGGGTCTGGGACGCGAATCGCGGTTGACTACGTGGGAGTCCAGCAACATAGCCATTACGCTAACTGCTGGTTCCCACACACATGCACATGTGCCTGGCATGAGTTTAAAGTCTTCAAGCTCAGGATTCTAACAGAGGTTGGCCATGTAGGAGTCCAATGACATAACCACTACGCCATCTGCTTGTCCCTCCTGTTTCCATCTTAATTCCCCCATCCTGAACTGGTCACCCACTTATTTCTATATATTACTGATAGTATATTTTCACATATCTTCTGTAAGCCATTATAAATCCTTCCTGGAACAAGATATGGTATAAGTAAATGATATATTCCACGTAGAAACATTTGTTTCATGGAATGAAGTGTTTGTTGCCTGATTCTAGAAGTGCCAAGCCAATTACAATATTTTAAAAAATTACAGCACAATAAGACATTTTCTTCAATTAATAAACATTTTATGAGTTCAATTTCTAAGGACATTTTCTTTCATGAAGGCTTCAACGGAAGCCTTTTTTTTCCTTCTAAAGGAAAAAAAAAAGAAAGTGCTTTCGCAAAAATCATATCTAAAATTAGAAAATTCTAACAGAGGAACTACAAAAATAAAACACTTCCATTATGTATTTTTAACTTTAGCACAGTAGAAAATTATAAACATACCCCTACATAAAAATCCCCCAAAAGCCCTTTTCAATTTTAAAATTCTGATCAAATCATCACACACACAATTACAACTGAGTATTCTGAGGGGGAACCAAAAAGATGAGGTTTCAAAGTGGTTCACAAGGTTGGCTTCCGTACAACTCTCCTAGGGTAAAGGAGGCTGCCAACCATTGTGGTGCAGCAGAGAATTTCGACTTCTAAAGGTTCTTGCCACATTCCTGCATCCTGCTTCAGGGCCTTCAGCAATCTCATGGCTGTCACTTGGGGAAAATAAAATGCTTACGACTTCTGCTGCGTGTAATAGTTTACCCAGTCATGAACATGCACTTACCATTCTGATCATAACTTCTGCCTTTTTTTTTCTTTTCTTTTTATTTTTGAGAGAGATTTTTGCTATAGGGAGTGCGTGCCTGCTGGAGAGGGAGAGAGTAAAAGCGAGAAATCAACCCGGCGGGGGGTTGGGGGGTGGCCACACCGCAATCCCTTCTCCTCCAATCTCCTCAAGATTTTGGCAACGCATGTGTGCGTGCCTACACACGCCCACTGTGAATTTCAAGCTGCTGGGTCTGGAACTCAAACCTCAGTAGGCCATGTGAGAGTCAAGAGCCTCAACCACTACGCCACCTGCTGGCCCATAACTTATGATTTTTTTTCTTTTTCTTTTTTTTTGGAGAGGTTTTTGCTATAGGGCGTGTGTGCTCGCCAGAAAGAGAGAGAAGGAGCAAGAAAAAGCAAGAAATCACTCCCAGGGGGGATGGCCACACCACAATCCCTTCTCCTCCATTCTCCTCTTGGGATCTTGGGCACACACGCCCAGTGTGAGTTTAAGCCACCAGGTCTGGGACTCAAACCGCGGTCGGCTACATGGGAGTTCAGCGACATAGCACTTATGCTAACTGCTGGTCCATAACTTGTGATTTTTAACTACATCCAATCAATTAAGCATAATCATAGTCCATAGCCCTTGTAGAGACGATAAACAAGGGAACCAGAATCAAGTAAATATGTTTTATTCTGTGATACAAAGTATATGTCCTACCCAATTGTCAGTAATTTCATCAAAAATACTATCTCACAGTTTTAACAGCACCATAAAAGTATCACCTTTCTTAAAGCATTTTAAGGGCTGTACCCAAACATCAAACTGATAAAATGAGTTAACCACTAAGTGGGATAAGAGACGATAACTCTTGTTGTTTCCCATGTTTAACAACAGTGTAGAGTATTTTAGGCATTTTGGCCATATGAAACAGCATACATGTTTCTACAGAGCTCTAATCATAGAGGTAAGCATTTAATAAGACTTTCAAAATGTCTGACCTTTACTTTGAAACTCTTGTATTTAATTTAGTGTGATAACTTTACTGATGGGCTATGAGTCTACTTGATAGCATTTCTATTCTGCATTACAGCAGTTAGGTTACACAGAGATCTTACCACATGTTAGAATTGGGTTATTTCTGCTAGGTAAATATGCCAGAAATAAAACTCACATAGTTTTAAGATTGAAATTTTATATCTCTAATCAAATACTGACAGAAGTAAATGAAATAGGATCTCAGTTCTCTACAGATGTAGCTATTAAAACGACCAAGTACTGATAATTTTCTTTTTTCATTGAAAACCAACATCAGAATTCAGTGAGTTACTTTCACTCCTCAAGTCACTAAGTACTCATTAAACACTTGCAGAGGCCCAATCAGGATTGAGAATGCAGTAGAAAAAAGCAGAATTCCTGTTTATGGAAGTTTATAAATTAGCTAGTCAGACACCCTTACACACACACGCAATTAGTAAATGAATATACAATTTAACCCAAACATTTTAATGATCAGAACAGATTAAAACACAAGACAACACAAATGCACTGTACTGGGCACAGTACTCATCAGTCACATGGAAGCCCAAGTGTAAGCTACATAAAATTCCACCTTACCCACACAATAATCCTACCTACAAACCTCCCTGGTTCAGTCACCATCAGATGAAAGACCACATTCCTGCATCTCTGCCTTGTGCTTTTTCATTTCAACAAAACGTACCTCCTTGTGTTACTGGTCTCCTCTCTCCCACATCCCCACTACCCCCAAGGTTCCCATCTCACCTTGTTGATCTGAATATTATTCACTCTTCAAGATACTTCCAGGAAGTATTCCCTCATCCCCTCCTCCACTCTCCATACCCAACAGGACGTCAGAAATGTCTAGTTCCTCAGTGCTCTATCTTGGTTTACAAAATTCATCTCAGGTATTGAGATTATCTTTACTGCTCCCCTCTCCTAAACTGGCTGCCTTGTAAGAAGCAGAAACATGACAGCTTTGAAAGTCAGACAAGTTCCAAATCCTGAACACTATTTAATCCCCTAAATAAGAACTAGTAAAACTTAAACGCTATTTATCATGAAATAGATTAACAACATAATCAAATCTTGCACCTCCAGCAAGGTTTCTTGGTACAACAATTTTAACTCACAAACTTAAAAAAAAAAAAAGTTTTAGGCTTACAGGGGTAAAGGACAAGTATTTTTTAACCTAAAAAAAAAAAAAAAAAAGTCTACAGCCAAAAATCCTACTCTCTAGAAAAATGCTGTGAGCTACTCCTAGTAAAATTTCGTATCTAATCTCAAAGGCAAAACGAGTACACCGGTGCCCACTGACATATTTCCCAACCACAGAGATTGGTCACCAGCGCTGAGACACCACCAGCTGTTTGTGACCCAGTCTCTAAAGCGGCTGATCCTTCCCTGTCTCTCCAATAAACTTCCGTGATGGGCATCGCCTCGGCTCTCCTCCAAGACGGCTCGGAAGCAGGGACTTCTGCTCGGAAACTCAGACCTACAACTTCGCCCTCAACCACGGGGCAGAAGTTAGTACCAACCTTCAAATCCCCGCGCCCCGAAGGGCAGGGCCCTCCCAGCGCCGGGACGTCTCTGTGCCCCAAGACCGACAGGCTCCGCGAAGTCCCGGCGCCCACTCCAAGGCCGGGCTGAGGTCTGGGTCAGCGCCTCCAAGCCAGGCGCGTTCTAGGGAGGTCCTCGGGAGTGGGAAGAGGGTCCTGGGCAGACCAACCGGCCAGCCACAGGTGTCCCTCCGGACTTGACGCACTGGACAGTGCGGGGCGAGCGAGGAGAGCCATCCCGGGAGGCGGCCAGGAAATGATGAGCGTCTGTCCGTCGGAGTTCGGCCGGGCCGTGGAGAACTACGAATGACCCAGCAGCCCTGGCCCTGGACGCCGCGCCGCCCCGCTCCCGGAGCTGAGGACGGCGCCGCCCTCGACCCCGTCCGTACCTCGACCGCCGCCCAGTACCTTGTCCGCGGTTCCACCGGCGTCGGGACCGCCGCTCCCCCCGCGTCGCTCGAGTAGGTCCAGGCTCGGCCACCGCTCCCCGCCCTCACACCCGCCTCCCTCTCACGCCCCGCCCCGGGCGCCGCGAGCGAACGCACGTCACGCGCGCGCACGACGTCACTTCCGGGGCCTTTGGCCCTGGCAGGGAGGCAGCTGCGGCTGGGTGGGAGGGGACGCGCCGGGGGGG